GGGGGGGGGGGCAGTAAGCTTAGCAGTCACTCACTCTCATAAATGACCTGCACTGTGGATTGTTTTTTACAATACAGAAAAAAGGTGACAGCCATTCTTCTTGAGGGTGGCATTTGTCAGTCTGTCAGCATTAAGGTAACCTTTTCTTAGTTACTCTCTGAATTATGGTAGACCTTAGATCAACTGACAAAAAAAAACAACAAAAACTATCATCTAGGATATTGAAAGAAATTTAATAAAATAAGTTGTGTCCCAGATTTAAGGAGAGCCATAAAAATCAAACTGCTCTTGAACAGTTTAAGTACAGGATTTCCTGTTCATCAAAAACAGCTGGTAGAATTAGCCGTGTGAGAAGGGAAAAGTAAACACATTACCTGTAGTAGCAAGAGTGTGGCTCTAAAAAAACTAATATGTTAAAGGAAATGTTGTGATAGACAAGTGGACTTCATCCCATTTGCTGCCAATAATGTATATAAGTCATTCACAAAGGGATATTTAAGGACAAAAATGTTGCTTCATAGTATACAAAAGCTCATTTGAAATTATTTGCACTCTAAATTTGAAAAATATTTGCATTCTATAAGTAAATGAATCCTTAGTAATGGGGCTGTGTTTTCTGGTGGTATCTGCTCAAGGAGGGCCCTGTGCTGGCCCCAGAGGGATATTGCTTATTTTTGGTGGTTATGTACTGCAGGGCTGGTTGGAAGACAGGTCACAACTGAAAAGAGCCAAAGAAACGCTTCCGTTGACTTCAACTTATCCTAGGCTTCTTGGAAATCTTCAGCTTCCTGAAATACAAAAGTTTAAATGGATAATGCATTTGGGAAGAGTGTGTAGGAATACCTCGCATTATGAAGTACAGTGAATCCTCAAATTTGCAGACCTCGGTTTAATGGACTTTGGATTTAATGGACAAAATTTTCAGTCCACATTTATGTGAAAATTAACACCCTGTTAATTTTTAAATGTTTTTAACCGCCCAGCCGGGCGTGGCTTAGCGGTTGAGCATGGACCTAGGATCCAGGAGATTGGGGTTCGATTCCGGGTCAGGGCACATGCGCGGGTTGCGGGCTGCAGCCGATTGATGTTTCTATCTCTCTCTCCCTCTCCCTTACTCTCTCTGAAATTAATAAAGATATATTTAAAAATAATAATAATAATAAAATATTTTTAACCAAGATTTGCTTACAATTAAACAGGTTATTTTTTTGTTATTAATTCAACTGTTATTTTTAACAAATTTTAGTGAACAGGCCATATGTTGGAAAAAACACTAGTAATTTCACCAACATAAATAAATATTACATATTTACAACTATAGTCTAAGTACCTAAATCCAAGAGTCGCCTCTTGTAAACAGCGTTTGATGAGTGATTAGCGCGCGCTCACCCGCGCGGCGCGTGGCAATGGGTTGGGTGCTGCGCGGCGGCTTCGCAGCAGCTCTAACGCCGCCCGCCCCGTTCCCACGGTGCTGAGCCCACCCGGCCGGTGCGTTTGTCACTCTCAGCGACTCCCGAGTGCCCGCATTTACTAGACCTATTCAGTATAAACATAAAATTACAGCAACACAGAGAAAACTTCTGTGAAATTCAACTTATACATAATTTAATTACACAAACGTGTTTATATAAATAAAAACAGGTTAACTTGTCAATTTCTTAACGTACGCATTTGGAAAACCTACTTATTATATAACGGACTTTTGGCTATAACAGACACCCCTCACCCGAATTAGTCTGTTACATCGAGGTTTTATTGTGCACACATCTTATTAGATCTGTTCTCCATTGTGAATGAAAATATTCTTATATGTATTTATTCTCCCCCTAATTTAACTTTTTATCTTTAATCCTCACCCAAGAAGTAAGGATATTTTTTCCACTGATTCTAGAGAGTGGAAGTGGGAGGGAGAGAGAAACATTGATGACAGACACGCGGATTGGTGGCCTCCCACATGCGCTGTGACCGGGCTGCAACCCAGTACATGCCCTGGACTGGGAATCAAACCAGAGACCCTCCCGTGCACAAGCCAGCCCGCTAACCACAGTCATGCTGGCCAGGGCTAACTTCACTTTTTTTTTTTTAAAAGTCCTCACCTGAGGATATTTTTTCCATTGCTTTTTCAGAGAGAGTGGAAAGGAGAGAGAGAAACATTGATGTGAGAGACTCATCTATTGGTGCCTCCCAAACGTGCCCCAACCGGGCCAGGGATCAAGCGTGCAACCGAGGTACGTGCCCTTGGCTGGAATCGAACCCAGAACCTTCCGTCTGCGGAGCCGACGCTCTAACCACTGAGCCGCGCCAGGCAGGGCTAATTTAACTTTTAAAAGAAGTTTCCTGATCCTTATTGTCAGAGTCGGTGTCCTTAATTATAGCCTCTGCCTCCTGTGGACACCTGGATGGTCCATAGCTCACTCACACACACATTTCTTCTCTTTCCCTTCCTCTCTTCCTTCTATTATAAGCAAAACCAAAGATACAGAGAAGTAGAGATGACAGGAATTCACCCATCACAATTTTAAAGCATTTTGCCTTTTTTTTTTGACTGACAAATTACTGGCATTTTATCCCTAAATACTCCAATATGCATTTTGAAAGTAGGAATATTTTCCTGTATAACCACAACGCCCTTATTACCTAATAAAAATTTAAAATAATTTCCTAATATTATCCATATTCAGACTTTTCATACTCAAGCCTTTCCCAGTTATCCCCCCAAATCTTTTTACAGCTGTTTGTTCAGACTGGTTTCCGCCCAGTCAGGGACCACACATTGCACTTGATTGCATTAGTTCACTAACTTTCTTTGAATGTAAAGGAGTCCCCATCTTTTTTTCCATGACCCACATGTTGAAGAATCTGCTTGATCTTAAAAAGAAATAGCCCTTGGTAAATTCTCTCTGATACCAAATTTGTCTTTCTGGGTTTACAATAGAATCAACTCTCTCCATAGTCTATTATATAAATCCTTACAATCTTTCACTGGAGTTTTAGGCTACAAAAATGTCGTTCTTTTTGCAAATAATGATAGTGGGCCTACTTCAGAGAACAGAAGAAATTCTGATCATATAAAAAAATGAATCATCCTACCGTTTAAGCCTGATAAACCTGAAAACTGGAAAAACAAAATTACACATACTAAAATTGGATTAATGGTCCCAATAACTAAACGAGAGGAATTGAAATTCATTCCACATAGTACAATAGTTCTGTCAAAATGTCAAACATATCTATTGAGTCACTCTCTTAATGCCATAAATGATTTACAATAAAACAAACAGATATTAATTCTTTTTTTTTTTTTAATTTTATTAGGCCCTGGCCTAGTAGCTTAGTTGGTTAGAGCATTGTCCCAATGCGCCAAGGTTTCAGGTTCCATCCCTGGTCAGGACACACACAAGAATCAGCCAATGATGCATAAGTAAGCGGAGCAGCAAATCCATGTCTCTCTCTCTCCCTCTCCACCCCCACCTCTATCTCTCTCCCTTCTCTCTCTCTACAATCAATCAATAAAAAATATATTTATTTACATGTTGAAAGTTAATTTATTATTCCAGGTGAAATATATAGCCCTAAAGCCTCAAATAATCTTAGAATTCTCTCAGCTTTAATGGTCTAGCTTCCTAATACTTTGCACAAATCACACTCAAGGGGGAGGCCATCCATAATACGTACAGACTTTTCCCTCCCTGACCCAGCTCCCCTAATTTCATACAGGACACACCTAACAGTCATGTAATCTGGGAGACCCACGTTAAAGATGAGCCAGACAAGAGAGCTAAAGGAAGACATGAACCCATTTGTGAGCCTCACCATCTAAGAATGTCAGTCTGTGTCTTCTAAATAGTCAGCAACCTTTTTCTCTTGGTTGAGTCTTTCTTCTTCTTTTCTGTAACAGAGAAGCAGAGACGGATGTCAAGTGAACACGAGCAGAAGCAAGGGAGGCACCTCTCAGCTGGCCCGGGCGAGGGTTCTCTCCCACGCCCTGGGGAGAAGGGCCTGCACCTGGGGAGCCGTGTCCCCAGTTCATCGAACCGCTAACGCTCGTGCCTTCACGGGGCCCCGGGCATCTGAACTCACACACGTTGCAGAATATTTTTAGGAGGGAATAAATAGTACAATTAGGGGACTCCAGGAATTTGAAGCAGGCACCTTCGTTTACCACTAGTATCTTACCTCTAATTCTACTCTTTATTCAAAAAAGAAAAAGTTTTGAGGGGAGGGAGGCTGGGGGACTGGGAGAAAGAAGTGAAGGGATTAAGTACAAATTGGTAGTTAACAAAATAAGGGAGTGTAAAGCAAAGCACAGGGAATATAGTCAATAACATTGTGATAACTATGTATGGTGTCAGATGGGTACTGCAAATATCGAGGGGAACACTTCGTAAAGTAAATGATTGTCTAATCACTGTGTTGTATACCAGAAACCAATACAAAATGATATTGAAAGTACATTGTAACTGAAAATTTTTAAAAAGAAAGAAAAAGTTTTGTGTTGACCTAGAAGTCATCATCATTGATTATATTCCACTTAAACCAGAACCTCAGAGTTGGGTTCATTAGGCTCCTTAAAATCAATTCTATTATTTCAGTAAATATTTCTTGAGGAAAAGAAACAAACGGTGCTGGAGCACCAAAAAACTGCAACTTGTGCAAAAGAATGAACTTGGACTCCTGCTTCACACCATATACAAAAATTAACTCAAGCCCGGCCGGGCGTGGCTCAGCGGTTGAGCATCGACCGAGGATCCAGGCAATCAGGGTTCGATTCCTGGTCAGGGCACATGCTGGGGTTGTGGGCTCGATCAATGACTCATCACTGATGTTTCTATCTCTCTCTTTCTCCCTCTCCTTTCCTCTCTCTGAAGTCAATAAAGATATAAAAAAAAAAAAATTAGCTCAAAATGATTCAAAAACCTAAATGTAAGAACTAAAACTTAAAAGTCTTAGAAGAAAACATAAGCATAAATCTTCATGACCTTGAGTTAAGCAATGATATCTTAGATATGACACCAATAATACAAGCAACAAAAGAAAAAAAAGATAAATTGGACTTCATCAAAATTTTTAAACTTTAGTTCTTCAAAGGACACTATCAAGAAAGTGAAAAGAGCCCAGCCAGGCCTGGCTCAGCAGATGAGCATCGACCTAGGATGCAGAAGATCACGGTTTGATTCCCGGGCAGGGCACATGCCCGGGTTGTGGGCACGATCCCCAGCGTAGGGCGTGTGGGGCATGCAGGAGGCAGCCAATCAATGACAACTCATAATTGATGTTTCTATCTCTCTTTCCCTCTCCCTTCCTCTTCTGAAATCAATAAAGACATACTTTTTTTAAAAAAGAAAGTGAAAAGACAACCCACAGAATGGGAGAAAATCACTGCAAATCCTATATCTAATAAGGCACTTATTATCATTATTATCAATCCTCATCCAAGGATATTTTTTCCATTGCTTTTCAGAAAGAGTGGAAAGGGGAGAGAGAGAGAGAGAGAGAACATTGATGTGAGAGAGACACATGGATTGGTTGCCTCCCAAACACTCCCAGGCCCGGAAACAACCAGGGATAGAGCCTGCAATCATGGTATGTGCCCTTGGCCAAAATTGAACCCAGGACCCTTCAGTCCTTGGGCTGATTCGCTAAACACTGAGTCAAACTGGCTAAGGCTAACAAGGCACTTTTAGATACTCAAAAATATATATGGAACTCATACAACTCAACAATAAAAAGACAACCCAACTTTTAAAGACAAGACATTTTAATAGATACATCTCCAAAAAGATACAAATAACCAATAAAAACATGGAAAGATGCCTGACATCATGAGTCATTAGGAAAATACAAATCGAAACCTCAACAAGCCCTGGCTGGGTAGCTCAGTTGGTCAGAGCATCTTCCCAATATACCAAGGTTGCCGGTTCAATCTCCAATCAGGGCACATACAAGAAGCAACCAATGAATGCATAAATAAGTGGAACAACAAATTGATCTCTCTCACACACAAACCAATAAATTTTTTAAAATATTTAAAAACCACCTCAGTGAGAAGCCACTTTACATCCATTGGCTATAATCAAAAGGACAGACAATAATAAGTGTTGTCAATGATGTGGACAAATAGGAATCCTCAGACATTGCTGGTGAGGATGTAACATGGTGCAACTGTTTTTGGAAAACAGTCTGGCAATACCTAACAAGGGTAAACATAGAGTTACCATATATTCCAGCAATTTCACTCCTAGGTATATACCCTGGAGAACTGAAAACACATGCCTACACAAAAACTTATAGATATGTTCATAGCAGCATTAATCATAATAGCCAAAAAGTGGGGCCTATGTCCCACCTAAATGTCCATCAATTGAATGGATAAACAAAATGTGATATATGCATACAGTGGAATATTGTGCAGCCATAAAAAGGAATTAAGTACCACTACATGCTATAACATGGATGAACTTTGAAAACATAGTATGTCAAAAAAGCCAGAAAAAAGGCCATATATCCTATGGTTCTATTTACATGCAGTGTCCAGAACAGGCCAATCCACGGAGACAGAAAGCAGATTAGTAGTCGGCAGGGGCAGGGGGGAGGGGAAAGAGGAAGTGACAGCAAAAGGGTATGGATGGAGTTCCTTTAGAGGGTGATACAGATATTCCGGAATTAGTGGTGACTATGAAATATTAAAAGGGTGAACTTTATAGTATGTAAATTTTATCTCAGTAAAAAAATGTTTATTGAGCACCTTATACCAACATGACTGACTTTCCTAGGTACCGATTCACAGTGCCCCTGCTGACTGCCCAGGGTTCTTAGAAATGTATGCTTTACATTAAAAGTAGGAGTATTCTTTTTTTCTTTTTTGGTTAATCCTCAGCCAAGGATAATTTTTTCATTGACTTTTTTAGAGAGAGTGGAGGGGTTGGGGGAGAAAGAGAAACACCAGTGTTAGAGAGACACATCAAGTGGCTGCCTCCCGCACGCACCCCGACCGGAGCCGGGGATCAGACCTGCAACCCAAGTACATGCCCTTGACCAGGAACCAAACCCGGGGCCCTTTGGTGCACGGGCCGATGCTCTAACCACTGAGAAACACTAGCCAGGGCAGGAGTATTCTAGAAAAGCTTACATAACAGATTTTAATTTTTTTATACAATATTAGCTTCAGGTGTGCACTCTGGTGATCAGACATTATATAACTTGCTCAGTGATCATCCCAATAAACCTCATACCCATCTGACATAACAGATGTTAATACTATCAAATCCTCCATAATAAAGAAAGGCTATACTGAAATCTTCTGTAAAATTAAGAATCCTTTTGTAAAGTCACTAATTCACACCCTAATTCACTCACCCTGTGACTCTGAATTCTTTCTCCTAAGACTTACTCAAAGGGAAGTATGCCTGTTCAACAGCGATTTAGCCTCATTGTAAAGTACCAAGCGTCACCATGAAAGAGAATTAGTTTTTCCCAGAACTGCCCCGGCTTACGATTTTATCTCCACCACTTTGTGAGCTCTCTCGGCCCATCGCCTTTTGCGGAAATGCTGAAAGAGGACCACCACAATTACTATTATGACCATCAGTACGCAGGCCAAGCCAATGGCCAGAGCCAGGAAGTAGATCTCAGAGAAGCGCACTGTAAAGAGAGAAGGTCAAGTCAGCACTCTGCAAAACGGGGTTACGATGCAACCTAAAGATGCAATGGGATGCACTTTTATCAGTAAATGGAATTCTTCTTTCTCCTACCATGTTACCTTGTAAACTCCAGGAGCAGCAGGAAAGCCATGCAGACTACTTGGGTAGTTCTCAGACTGTGTCCTAGGAGTAGCAGCAACAGAACTTTGAAACACAACTTATCAGGCCCTACCCCAGACCTACTGAATTACAGGTGGGGCAGGGCAATTTGTTTTAATAGATCCTCCAGGAGATCCTGATGCCAGCTGGACTTGTGAGAGCCACTGGGCTGGTTGAGTAAGGTTACTGCCAACCCAACCAAATCCAGAGCTCAAACTCTTTCTCCCTAACTTCTCTGCCATTCAGTCAGTCATTTATTCAGATTTATTAAGGGCCTGGTATGTTAAGGCACTCATGGAAATACCAAGCCAAAAAAAGACATCACCTTCGAGGAACTCATGCCCACTGGGAAGACAGGCGAGGAAATCAATAACTACAGTTGTGCATCACTAACTACAGGGATAAGTTCTGAGAAAGGCGCCGTTAGCCAGCTGTCACTGTGCACACATCTCCACGGGAGAGCCTACCGCATACCTAGGCTGAATGGTGTAGCTACTGCTCCGAGGCTACAAACCCGCACACCCTGTTACTGAATCCTGCAGGCAATTATAACACAATGGCAAGTTTTGTGTGCCTAGACACATCTAAATATAGAAAAGGGACAGTAAAAATCCAGTATAAAAGATAAAAAACATCACACCTATGTGGGCAATCACCATGAGTGGAGCTCACAGCACTAGAAGCTGCTGTGGGTGAGGCGGGGAGTGAGCAGGAGAGAGTGTGGCGGCCGAGGCCGTTACTGTCCCCTGCCGAGACTATAACACTGGACATAGGCTGCACTCAATTTATTTTTAAATGCTTTTTTCAATAACAAATTAACCTTAGCTTACTGTAAATTTTTCACTTTATAAACTTATTTATGTTTTTAACTTTTCAACTCTTTTGTAATAACACTTAGCTTAAAATGCAAACACATTATACAACTGTACAAAAATATTTTCTTTATATCCTTACTCTCTAAGGCTTTTTCTATTTAAAATTTTTTTTACTTTTCTACTTTTTAAACGTTTTTGCTAAAAACTAAGATACACACACATTAGCCTAGGCCTACACAGGGCAGGATCATCAACACCACCACCTTCCACCTCCACATCCTGCCCCACCATAAGGTCTTCAGGGACAGTAACTCTCACGGAGCTGTCTCCTGTGATGACAAGGCCTCTGTCTGGATGCCTCGCCTTGAGGACGTGTCACCGTTCTCAGAAACATATTCATGGCGGTTTGCTTGGTTGGTTCGTTCGTTTTTTCTCATCATAAATCTGCTTGTAAGCAGATAATGCACCATGAACAATCCTCTCTCTTAATGAAAACCTTTCAGTGTTGGGATCCATGTTTTCTAACTTTTTAAAAAAAGAACAGTTCATTGATTTTTTTTAGAAAGAGAGGAAGGGAGAGAAACATCCCCCCTGACCTGGAATCAAACAGGCAACCCTTTGATGCCTGGGATGACACCCATGCGGCTGAGCCACACCAGCCAGGCCCATGCTTTCCAGCCTTTCAAGGAGCTTGCTGAGGTCTACAGAGCTTCTGACAAGCCTTCACTGTGCATCTGCTTGAGGTTCTCACTCTCGCCTGCAGTTTCCTCCCCTTGCAGCCTCCTCGGCCACGCGTTGCTGCTCCAGCCCCAACAGCCCCTCACCGGTCCACTCCTCCAGAGCCAGGGCCGGGGGCTCCTCCGGTCATTCTCATCCACACTGAGGCCAACTTGTTCCCCAGCTCACCCACATCCTTGCTTTTTGCAACCTTCGTGCTATGAGGTGAGGATGGCTACGTCACTGGGTGATAGGAACTTTTCAGCTCCATTATAATTGTATAAGCTCAGCACTGCGTATGTGGTCCATCGTTGACCGAAATGTCATTATGTGGCACAGGACTGTATAGTCTAGTGGGTAAATGATGCAGGAGAGAACCCAGAGGTAAGGGTCCCTAAACCAGGCTAGAGTTTGTGAAGCCTGGGTCTCCTGTCTTTTAGCTTGATTTCTGATTTAAACTTCAATAAACCCTCAGAACCACAAAAGACATTGGAGATGTCTAGCTCAGGAGCTCCCAGCCTGGAGTCCATGAAGGAGGGGGGAGGAGACCACAAGCCCACAAAATCCATGTGTGTGCACATAGTTTGTGGGAAGTAGGGCCATGGCTTTCATTAGATCTCAGAGCAGTGATCCCAGTATGTTTAAGAATCATGTGTCTTGTGTAATCTGTCCATTTTGCAGATGAAGACACTGAGGTCCGAAGATAGGATATTACTTCTTTCGACACTCAGATGACTTCTCCAAGGTCGCACAGCTCCCTGTTGATGGAGCCTTGAAGGCTGGTACTAGGAATGAATGGAGGAAATCAAACTGCTTTACAGTGTGGGTCGGTTAAGAGCACACACCAGAGAAAGCTCGGTTAAAATACCAGCTCCACCACTTACTAGCTGTGTGATTTGAGGTCATTAACTTCTCTGAGCATCAGTTTCCTCAATGTATAAAACAGAAATAATAATATCTATTTCTTGAGTTCTTATAAAAAATAAAATTATTCACTAAAATTGTTCCATGCTGTGCCTCCACATAGCAAGCACTCAGTATACGGTCACTGTTATAATTTTCAGGACAACTCGGAGTTTGGGGGACTTTGACGTTCATCGTCTCATTTCATCCTCATTGGAGTCCTTGCCACATTATTCTCTTTGCTGGAGGGGAAACACGTCAATTTACAGCTGCTAAATGGTGGCATTTACGGACCCAAGTTGGCAGCTGAGGTCGTGAGGTCTTGCTTTCTGTGACCGGCACAGCTGTCCGGCTGTCCTGCCGGGTGCTGCAGGCCGCACACTGCGGTCACCGGGAGCGCAGTTCTGGAGCCGAGGTGCTCCGCTTCTCAGCTGCATGGCCTTGGACAAGTGACTTACCCCCTATGCGCCTCAGTTTCCTCGTTAGTAAGAAGCGGGGTACTAAGCACAAGACACTGATATGAAATGGAAAGATTAAATAAGACGTGCAAAGCCCTGACACAACTCAGTGAGCGAGGGCCACGGCTGGTTTCTGCTGCGAGCGTGGCTGCCAGGTCAGCGAGGTGCCGACGCCCAGGCGGGGCCTGCAAGGAAGTGGCTGCATGACCGGAACTATTGTTACCCTTTATCGGAGTTGTTTCCTCTCCCTTTCACTGTCTCAATGCCATTTTTGTAACAGATTCCTGGATCCCTTTGCTTCACTTTTTCTTTCCACAGTCAAAGCCTTTCTCTTTCTATCCGAGGATTCTTCACGCTCCCTCCACAGTTTCCAGATTTGAAGGGCTCCTTCTCTCTGCTCTCAGCCATCACAAAACTCGCCCCTCCTTCCCACAGGCTCCAACACTTCCCCAAACCGTTTCCCCTGGAAACCTACCAGTCTGCACCACGCTGAGCCGGATCTCCCCTATCAGCCCATCCACATCAGGCGGGTTCTTCACCTGGCAGGTGTATGTCCCATTGTCATCGAACTGCAGCTTCCAGAGGATGATGGAGGCATCATAGCGCTCGGGGTTCCCGTCCCAGACGACCCGGTCCTTGAACCGCCCACTCATGGGTTTGAAGGGATCTATGTGGTAGTAGAACACCTAGAAAGGAGAGGTGGCACAAGGTCTGCTTCAGTGCCTGGGCTCAGGCGGGGGCCGTGGGGGCTCCAGCAAGCCCACTGCCCCATCTGCCGCTCTCTTGCAAGAACTCCTTGCCCTCCCTTTCCCTGGCCTCTCAGCTCTGTCAGCCTCTGACGCAAGAATCGTTCCCCAGCTTTACCCCGTGCTTGTTGCTAAAAACAACAAGCAAACAGGAAGAGCAAGGAGAAATAGACGCTTATTTTTCTAATCGAGGATCCCCTAGAAAATGACAATAATGTACTTACAAACTGTTCAGACCCCCCGTCTTGGGGACGGAAATTCCAGGTCACTGTCAGAGCATCGCCCACAGGGGCAAAGCTGGAAAAAGTGCATTTTAATCGAACATCTGTCCCGTTAACAGCCTCCAGCACTCGGGAGGTGTAAATCTCCACAGCTGCAATAGGCCGAAGAGCTGCAATAAGGCGAAGGAGAAAGGAGGGTTAACAGAGGGAGCACAGGGACCGCGGGATCGACCAGAGTAAGGGTCTGCGTAGGCGCAGAACAGCGCTGAGATGACCCGCGCTCAACCTCTCCTCACCGCCCTGCCTGCCGCCAAGCAAGCCCGGCCCTCCCCTTCTGTGTGACACTAGGCACACCTCAGGGAGCCTTCAGGGCGCTCTCACTTTCTCCACGGAACGGTACCCACTTCAAAGCTGTTATAAGAAACTACAAACAGTGGCAAATACAAATGAAAGCAGAAACAAAAGATCTAAACGAATCAGAACACGAGTTAGACGTGTGATCGAGTTAAACATTATGTATGGTGTGTAATGGTCTTTCGGCAGGCGAGCTCTCCGGAGCGGTCCTTGTTATGTGGGCTTTCACAATTCCCCTCTGCAGACATTCGGTCAGCCCCAGACAGTCCACGCTCGCCTGCGCCCCTGGGGCCTCACACCACGCGGCACTTTTTACCATGATATTTATGTTTAGAAGGTGCGTGTTGGGGCAGTTTCAAAACCACAGTGGGCCTCTCTCCTTAACGATTTTGGCTTTTCCGGTGCTGCTGAGAGTCCCAGACAAGACCCACACAATGATCCAAGTACCAAGTCCTGCCTGTGCTGAGAGATTGAAAGCAGCCACAGAGAAATGCTTTGTAACCTGAGATTTGAAAGCCCTCTCTGTGCCTGAATCGCTGGCAGCCGAAACACACCTAAACCTGTTTGTCCAAAAGCAGTTCTTCCAAAAACGACCCACCGACTTTGGTTTCAGTGAAGTCGAAACTAAAGTGAATTCAACTATGGCTCAGGCTCCAAAGAAACTTCTTGCTGCGTCCTGGACAATCAGCTAACTTTACAGGGCAGGCAGGGAGGGAGGAAACGGGGCGAAGCCCACCAGCTCTTACCTGCGAGCTGAATGCCAAGGAGGAGCAGCGCAGCACGCGAAAGGCTCTTGCCATACATGAGGACACCCAGCCCTGGCCCCCGAGACCAGACCGGCCGACCGAGGGCTCCAGCGCCCTGCCGGGCCCCTTCTGGGAGCGAGCGCGAGCACCTGCGTGTTCCCAGAGCCGAGGCAGTCCCTCACCTAAGGGACTCCGTGCGAGGGCGCCTGTGACTCATCCCTGCTCGGCGGGTGCGCTTTGCTGGAATGAAAGGTGGGGCCTCAGCTCCAACGCCCTCCTGCCCTCCTTCCTTCCTCCCCTCCTTCCACCCTCCGCCCTCTACGCTAGGAGCAAGTCTGCACAAAGTCCCCAAGCGCAGTCCTCTGCTTCCCGGCTGCTCTGGGCTCCGGCCTGCGGGTGGCCGAGAAGCAGCCAGGAGGCGGTGCCCAGGCTGCCCTGGGTTGGGCCCTGGCTCGCTCCCCGAAGCAGGCCCCGGGCTGCCCGCGAGGTGAGCGGCGAAGCTGACTTGCAGTGAGTGACTTTCCCAAGCACCTCCCTGGGGCTGGTTAGCGGCGCCACTCACGGCTCCCGGCAGAATTCCTTAGCACCCTCTGTGGACAAAAAGTCCTGCAGTTTACCTCAGTTTTAGCCAGATGTTAACCCGAGGACTTCTGAACCTTTTCCAGCCCGTAGCTTTCCCAGAGGCCCACCTAAAATAAACTGACCAAAGCAAACCTCAATGTGTAATGAGCCTTCAACTTTGAAGGATTTAAAGGCCATGGGGCTCTCCTCCCTGCGCATTCACCAGCCGTCTCCACAGTCTGCCACTCACCCCGCCTGCTTCCCACCCCGGGGTGCTCCAGCACAGGCCCCCGGCTCGCCAGTGAGGACGCCAAGCCCCCGGGAGGTGAGTGTTTTGCCCAACCTTCCAAGCCAATAGGCAGCAAAACTGGAGCTGTCCTGACTTCCGAATCTAGTGCTCTTTTTACAAAATAGCAGCTAATATGAACAGTGAACGCAGAGGACTCTCAAGGAATAGGTTTTCGTAACACTTAGCTGGCTTGTGTTCAGGGGCCATTTTTAGGGCAGCCAGGGGTCTGAGAAATCTAGAGTAGAGCAATTTAATGAGAAACGGTGCCTCCTCTCCAGAAAAAGGGTGAGGCAAAGGTTGATGCGGCAGAAGGGAGATAAAGAAAGGTTACAGCCGCCCTTAAGAAGTGGGCTCGCCCAGGCGCCCAACCCTGAGCAGAAGCAAATTGCCCTTATCCCCACTAGCAATCTGGAAACTCTTTTGTGATTCATAAAATTCTGCAAGTTAACAGAGAGGTTGCCAGGAGGGGGAGGAAGGGGCAGCCTGAGTAGGAAAGCTGAAGCACCAGGAAGAAAAGAGAAAATTCTACTGAGAGGATGATGACAGAGGTGAAGAAAAGGAAAAGCTGAAGAGAAAAGCAAACTGGAGGGAGAAAGACATCACAGTCATGGAGAAAAACAAGGTCAAAGCAACAAAAATACCTTCCAGCATGAACGTATGGCTACGAGTGTTTCTGAAAATAGAGCGTTTGGCTCCTGTGTCAGCTTCTAGGTTTGCGATCAGCCTAAAATCAGAAAGCTTGGGGAACCTTTGAAGTGGAGATAGGATAAAATAGAGCTTTTCTGGTGTATAGTCCGAAAAGTTCAGCTGCAGGAGCCTGAAAGAGAGGAGTTAAGGAAACGCGATCCTCTTTGTTGGCTTTCAGCTTGCAGGGAAACGCAGCTCTAAGGAGAGAGGGAGGGCCTGAGTTTTGAAGTCTGCAGCATATTGCAAAATGTGGTGAGAGGTAGAGTTACCGAAACGCTCAGGGATACAGTGAAAAGCAGCAGGAGAGGAATCAGGGCAAGAAGAACTGAACAAACTGCCTGTTGTCAGGAGCAGAAGAATGTCCCCCAGGTAGCCCGACGCCCTGTGTGCAGGCCGCCGCCCCGCTGAGAGGGTCAGCAGCTGCCCCGGCCCTCTCCTCCACGGAGTCAAGTTCCTGGCCTTCTGCCCAGCAACGCCCAATTCCTTCCAGTTAGAGTGGCTCCAGTCATCCAGTTTCCCTCCCTGCGCGGGGAGGGAGGAGGCCAAGGGCTGGATTAAGTAGAGGAAACACTAGGTAAAGAGGACATTTGCATTCAAAGAAGAATTAACACCTATTCTATTCAAACTATTCCAGAAAACTCAAGAGGCGGGAAAACCCCCAAACTCTTTTTATGAAGCCAGCATCACCCTAATCCCCAAAACAGATAAAGACACTACAAAGAAAAAAAATTACAGGCCAATATCCCTGATGAACACAGATGCTAAAATCCTCACTAAAATACTAGCAAACCGATCCAGCAACACATTAAAAAGATCATACACCACGACCAAGTGGGATTTATTCCAGGGATGCAAGGCTGGTACAACATCCGCAAATCGATAAACGTGATACATCACATAAACAAAATGAAGGACACAAATCATATGATCATA